AAGGAAATTCAAACCCATGTGTCTATTAATAGACACAGGGAATTTGTTAACAGCGGTAACAAATCAGGTGTTCGATAAATTCCCAAGTTCTGCTTTTGCAGAGAAACCAGATCATTTTTCTTGTAATACAGAAGGCTGATGAGGTACTTGCAAGACTGCTACTCGCCAAGAAATTTAAACAACCTACACTCAAAATAAATTTATTTTCTGGATAGTCCAAACGGAAGCATCCCTAAAGTGTTGACAGAGGTATATAGCAGGCTTTTGAAATACCAGACAACTGCTGAGACAGGAAGGGTGCTGGTATTCAGCTATCACGAGAGCCTGAAATCGGATAATTATAGGCTGGTTAGTTTGATATTAGAATAACAGAACGATGATACATATGTACCCAAGCTTGGTGGGGTGCTAAGTACCAAAGGTGGGGTGGATGAGGTGGACAGTTATGCTCAAGAGAGAAGCAATTCTGGGAAAGAAGATAAGGGTGAGCAAAGCAGACCTGAACTGCAGGAACAACTCTTTAACAGAGGGGGTTTGGCTTAAATTTGGGTGCATATACTGGAAAGGAGGGGGTATGATGAATAGAGGGGGTATGAGCCCTGAACATGGCATGGTGACACCTTGGCACTTTGCACCCAGGCTTAGTGTCCACAGTGGATGTGGAAAAGATAGAAGTAGTTGAAAAGAGCCATCAGAAATAGGAGAGAGAGGAATGTGTTATAATGAGAAAATTTGTTCTTTTGCTTTGTAAGGAGACTGAAAGGGAAGGAACTTTGCATGGGTTTGCACAGTGCAGCCTTCTTGTAGAAGGTCACTCGGCAATCTGTCAGGGAAAGGCAGAGCTGCCTGCAAATGTTTGAGACATGAAGCCAGACAATTTCCCACTACCAGTAGAGCTTACTTGTATTCACACAAGTGATTTTCCAGCCCATGAAGAACAAAAGCCCAAACAAAAGTGGACCCTTTTGGGAAGATGTACCCTGAGTAAGTTCAACAGCTGGTCTCAGTATGAGACTGCTTTTGGGAAGGGAATGTATGGGAGGTCCCGAAAGGTGATCTGCTGCTTGTTGGGGCTTTAAAGTCTGTAAATAACCTTTCCTCTTGCCTTTTCAAGGCATGAAGAGGAGATTCCCACCTCCCCGCTCTGAGGGAGATGTTAGGTCAAAAAACACATGGATGAGAGAGGATTACTGTGTGCACATATTCTTTTGCATCTATCCCTGTGCCTTATTATTCACCTCTGTATTAAATATCAGATTCAGGATAAGAAGGTCATGGACCATGGGACATTAGGCTTTTTTTCTAGCAGAATATGGTCCATGTTTATATCATTCATGCCAGATCCAAGATCAATTTCTGACAGAAAACAAAGTTGATACAATGGGAACGTTGCAAATAGTGGGAACCAGCCTAGGAGGAAGTTCGGTCCCAGATTGCTGAGGCACTAACAAGGGAGGAAGAGGGAGGGAAGTACAGACACCAGGAGGTTTTCTTCTCAGTCATATTGCCTTATGTTCACCCTCATCCTCTCCTTCTGAAGATCCTGCTCCGGTGTGTCTGACACCACATGCATCAGGGTATCGGTGCCCTTTTGTAGTCATTAGCTCCCAGTCATTTATTGTGCTGGCACTCACTGAGAGCTGGCCCAAACCAGACTGCAAATGTGCTTGAGCTTTTTTGGCAACACTTCATAATAAACGGCAAACCACTTCTGTGGCTCGTTTCCATTGTAATATTAATCAAACTGAATTCCTGTGGTGCTCATATGGATGTCATATGTAAATCCTTCTGAACTCAGCTGCTGCTAACTCCAAATTAAAGTCAATGGGAAAATTTCTCTCCTGTCTCCATCTTGCAGATCTTAGCTCTTGCGCATTTATTCCATTCATGAAAACCCGATTATTGTGGAAATGAGGAAATTCCAGAGTTGATGAAACCCATGAGGAGCATTGATAATACTTCTGAATTTATAGAGAAGGTGCTCAGATGCCGTGTCGATAGGCAGCACCATGAAGCCCTGATATGGAAGTAAACATAGCTCTGTGTCCTACTATACCTGAGTACTCCACATATTAAAACAGAAGTCCTCACCAGCATTTCCAGCTGTCCATCCCCTCAATATGAATATTTTAGGAACAAGAGATTTTCCAGGTCAGTGCTTGTCTTCAGCAGTGGTCAGTACCACTCTTCAGCAAAAGACATGAGAAACCTCCAAAGAGCAATTCTGGAACAGTTCCCTCTCAAAGAGTTTTCTCCCCAGACCTTAGAAATCCCACCCTGTTCGATGAACTGTATGTCTGTCTGTATTTTTTGTCGTGGGAGAAACAGGCAAATACAGGTTGCATTTTGCTCTGAGAGTACTGATCCCTTTTTTTTCCTGAAATGGGTCAAAGAGCTGCAGACTAGTTGCTGGACCCCAGAAGTTAGCCACTGGCCAGGCAGAAAATCACTTGGCCTTGGGCAAGATCTTCAAGTGTTGCATAGGCTGGACCAAGTCTAGCACCTGAACCAGGACAGTGTTAGGACCTACATCGTGTTGTCACTTGCCTTCAGTAGACAGAGGACAGCCATCCATTTCTGTTCCTTGTGAATCCTCCTGCAGCCTTCAACCCAACACAGGCAATGGCACTAACTTCCCCAAAGGAAAAGGGAAGAGCACAGGAATTGGATGAGGTGGTTGCAGGCCTTGCTGAAAGGTTGTCCCCTGGGCAGCAGGGGGAAGGTCCCCCCTCTTGTTGCACCACCAGAGCCCTTGCTCACCGTGTGCCTCTGCTCATCATCAGCATGAGTTTCTGGCCAGGACCAGGAGGTACTGCAGATCTACCGGTGGGCAGTAAACAGATGAATCATGGCTTTACCTTCCCTCCATCGCATATAACAAAGCTACTTACTGTAGGAAGCCCTGCATTTGGCAGAGCTTTCTCAGACACAACCTTTCCAAGATCAACCAAGCCCTGTTGCACCAGGAATGCTTCTTTCTGATCCTTTGCTTCAGATTTGACCTAAAATGCACAGGTTTCCATGTAATCCCCCAGAACAAGAAATCATTCAGAGAGATACTCAGATGTCGGACATGTCACTACACACACTTTGGAAAGTGTTCAGGTGCTTTCTCCCTGAGAAGGCTTGTCACATATGTCTGTGAGTCACTCCAAGGTGATGTCTCCATTGTCCCAGTGAAATATCTGGGTCATGAGAAGTCACTGGCACCTAGCAGGAGTCCTGTAGATCCACTGACCATTCACATGAGCAGCTTAGAAGATGAGAACTGAATCTCCAGAACCTAAGTTGTTTTTTTTTTTTTTTTTTTTTTTCTCCAGGCAATCCAGCAAGCAGAGAGAGGACATGATGTCATGCTCTGTATCCATCTGCAGCATGACCTGGTTGCTATTTAAGAGGAATGGCTTTCTTTAGTTGTGATACCTTACAGTGGAAGTAGGGTTTTCAGCACAGCAAACCCAGCAGCCAGAATATTTGCGTAGAGCAAATGGGAAATGATACCCTCAGCTGGGACCCTGGCTCCAGGAACACTGTGTGCTGACTGGCAAGGGTGGGAGCTGGCTACACTGGACAGAGGGTGGAGGGCTTGGGGTGAGCAGATGGTGGGCTCTGTGACACGTGGATGTGTTGGCGAGGCGGCTGTGTTGGTGCAAGGGGCCCAAAGCTGTGTGAGGGGAGACAACACTGATGGGGCTCGTGAGGGCAAAGGTGGCCCTTGCAGTAGCCGTGTGTCACATAGAGGGTTCCCTAGCTAAGGGATGTTTTTGGGGTATTGTGTGTAAGCTCTGGTTGCTCTACAGGACAGAGGAGGTCTGCAGGGAGGTCCATCTCTGGTCAGGAGAGGTCACCAAGGGTCATGGGTGCTGATGGGGTTGGCTTGCACACTCTGTATGCAAGCTGGGGATGGTGCTGTGAAGGCCATGAGATACAACAGTGGCATGAGGTATCCTTTTAGTGGGGAGTCAAAGGGAACTTCCTCCGTCAGGGGGCATTTGGGGGCACGGAGGTGCATCTGTGGTCCCTCTGGCTGGCAGGGCGCTGCAGGGCTGCATGCAGGGCGAGGTCCTGCTTGGGGTGGGAGGACAGGGAACATCTGGGGGTTGTCTGTCCCCATGGCCTGCCTGTGCTGCACGGGGTACACCCCGCTCCTGGGGGTCTCCAGTGGGGCAGGCACAGGGCCGTCCCCAGTGGGGACCCAAGCATGGACGGACGTCGCTCTCGGGTACCCAGGGGGTCTCTGGTGGGTGCTGGGAGTCCATCCCCGGGCAAGGGAATCACAGTGGGGGTCTGCCCTGTGCCCAGAGGGTCCTGAGTGGGCATTTGGGGATCCATTTCAAGGCAAGGGACCATGGTGGGGAGTCTGCCCCGTGGTCCGTGTGTCCCAGGTAGGCACGGGTAGTCCATCCCCAGGCTGGGGATCACAGGGTCTGCCAGAGGGTCCTGAGTGGGCACGGGGGGTCTGTCCCCAGGGATCATGGTGTGAGTCTGCCCATACCCAGTGTGTCCTGGGTGGGCATGGGGGCGGTCCGTCCCCACGCTGGGGCTTGCAGTGGGGCTCTGCGCCATGCCCAGAGGGTCCCGGGTGGGCACAGCTGGATGGGGAACAGGGCTGAATCCCCCGGGCGTGGGGAACACAGTGAGGGGCTGCCCCGTGCCCAGAGTGTGGGGTGAAGACGGGGGCCTACCCCTGCGTGAGCACCGGTCCCGAGTGGACACGGCGTGGGGCTGCCCGCAGTGCTCAGCGACGCTCGAGGGGGCCGAGCCGGGCCCAGCCGAGCCGAGCCGAGCCGATTCGAAATGAATCGAGCCGAGCCGAGCCGAGTCGAGTCGAACCGAGCCGAGCCGAACCGAGCCGGGCCGACTGGAGCCGATCGGAGCGGCTGCCGTCCCGGCCCCGCCCCGAGCGTGAGGCGGCGGCGCCATCCCCGGCGGCAGGGGGCGGGGCGGGGCGGGGCGGGGCGGGGCCGGGTCAGCCCGCGTGCCCTCCCCCGCTCCCCGCCTTCCCTGCGCAGCGGAAACATGGCGGCGGCGAGGCACTGAGCAGCCCCCGCGCTCGGCGGCCGCGCAGGTGAGAGGGGCGCGGGGCGCTGTGGCCCGGCCCGGCGGGGCGCTGCCGGGGGCCGGGCGGGGGTTGGGCGCCTAGGCCCCGCGGCCAGGCCCGGCGCGGCGCGGATCACGGTGGCAGTGCGGCCCGGCCGCCGCCTCCCCCGCGGGGCCGGGGCCCGGGGCCGCGGTGGCTCCGGGCCGGGGGCGGCCTGTCACCGCCGACACCTGTTGGGACCCGCCAGGGACCGGCCCCCCCCCCCCCCCCCCCGGCTCCGGGGCCTCCCCGGCGGCGCTGCCGCGACTCCCGCCGGCAGCGGGGCAGAGGCCCGGGGGGGCTGCGCCGGCCTCCCTCGCCCGCCCGGGGGCCGCCCGCCTCTTCCCGGCCGGGTCGTAGCTCCCGGTAAAGCACCTTCGAGGGGCTTTTGTTGTTCTTCCAGGTGTCCTCGGGCAGGTCGCGGAGGGGACGGGGCGCAGCAGCACCGGGCCGTGGTTATGTTCACCCTGAGGCCTCGGGGCGGTTTTTGCGGACCGCCTGAGCCTGCCCTCCTCGCCGGCGCCGTTATTATCTACCGGACACTCCTTGCCTGAAAAGGGAAGCAAGACCGAGCTGCCGGCGGATTCGCAGGAGGTGGCTGTTGCCTGCGGGTTGTGCCTGGGGAAGGTTTGTCCCCTTGCCTCCCGGCCAGCCCTTTAGGACATCAGCAAAACCCTCCTGTGACTTCAGGGTGGTCTGGAGATGGGTGACAGTGCTCTCAGCAGGATCTGCCACGATGCCCCTGCTGCTGGAGGTGTCAAGGGTGATCCTGGGGGCTGGACAGAGAAATCCCATAACTCCGTCCCCAGGGAAGCATCTGCGCCTCCCGCACAGCCCCCCCGAGTCGGGTGTTTGAGTAGAGCTGGAAGTAAAACAAGGCTTGAGCTTTTTGTGTACAGTAAGACGTTTGAAAATAAATACAGTGTCAGGCTGGCTTCTGCTGCATGTCGTTCAGGTTTAATACGCAGCTTCCTTGGTGATCCTGTGTGAAACCGTGGCAGCAGTTTGGAGTCTTGATGACTGAAGGTAGAGATAGCAAATCTAAACGGGCAGCCTAAGTTTTGGATGCACTGAGCAACTTGGCTCCCTTTGGCCTTGGGTGTTTTTCACTCCGCATCTGAATGCTAAACTAATTATTTCCATGGGTAAAGTCAGGATGTGGAGACCCAGCTCCGGGGTACCCAGCTTTGATTTTGGCTCTGTTTCTGTTTACTGTTGTTGTTTATAGTAAACATCGCGCACTGACTGGCTGAGAACAGCCATGTGGTATCTCCTCTTCGGCAGCCAGTAATATTGGGGAAAAATATTCTCCCACCTCAGTTCAATTGCCTGAACGATGGTGTGCGGCGGGTTGTACCGAGGCTGCTGGCGGAAGGACGGACGCCTCCTCCTCTCTGCCTTCCTCTTCTCTTACCCTCACCCTTCTGCTGGCAGGGCTGTGGTGTCCCCATACGCTTGCTGGAAATATTTGGAGTATGGGATAGTGGTTTCATACCTCCCTTGCGCTTCGTAGCAAGCACCGGCTTGTGGCTTGCCGCTAATGTGGGGAATAAAACTCGGCTCATGGGGGGCTCAGCTCGGGACGAACTGCTGCGGGCTGCAGCCTTGCAGGGCCTGTGCTGTGCAGTTGGGTAGTTCAGGATCTGCCCAGTAGATGGTATGAAAATGCAGGCAGAAATAGGGGAGTCCTTTACAAACTGCAAGAGGGAAATACAGGTATTTCTGTGCTATTTAAAGTATTTATTTTATTAAAGTGTGTTTTATTAGGGAGATACACTGACCCTCAGTCCTCCTGTTTCAGTATTTACATCTTAAGAAATGATAAATCTACATCTTGATAATCTGCTTTTTAGTCAAATATTTGTTATTAAATAATTCAGGTGATTAGCTAACTAAAAGAAAGGAAATTCAGAGTTTAGAAGAAGAGTGCAAGTGAGTGGCATCCCCAGCAAGTTGTGAGCCTGTGTCCCCTGGTTTTCCTGTGTCCAAGCTTCTAATATTTAACTCTTGAGCTACTTCTCTGGAAACTTGATGAATATTGCAGCACAGTTTGGAATCTTTAAATGAAAGATGCTGTTAGGGTATAAAATGATGATGTTATTCATCAAATAGCTATGTTTGAGACTTGGATGCAAGTGGTCTGTGGTTTGTGTCCTTGCCATATATCTAATTTAAAGGAATCTCTGAAACTCTGTTTCATAGCCTCAGAGGCAGTGTGTCTAGAGAGGACCTCCAGAGATGTCATCGTTGTTTCCCAGCACAGGGGTAAGGTCAGGGACACATCTAAAACCCTTCCTGAGTAGTGTTTCTTCTGTTAAGGCTCTTCCTGCTGGCAATTTCACATCCTGTGCAGATGATGTGTGCCAACACTCGGGCCTCCTCACCATTAGAGAGATTTTCATGGTCTTTAGTCTAAATCGTTGTCTTACATTTTAAGTCTGTTCCTTCTCTGATCTCCAGGGCACGTGGAAAAAGCTGTTCCCTACATCTCTGCAGCTAAAACTGAAGTGATTGAAGACTTTTTTTTTCCTGTTCCTAAGCTGAACAAACTCTGTTTCTCTTCTCTTTTTGCATGGGCTTGTTGTCTCCACAGCTGATCTCTGCCCTTCTCTGGACTCTGCTATGGATCCACACTTCCCTTAAAGCGCTGTGGTCAGGCTGGGCTTGGTAGGACGGTGATAGTTGAGCTTCTGTGGAGCAGTTGTTCTCCAGAGATGATGACCCCATTTTGGTTATGTCTAACTACTGTTACGTGAAAAAGAATTCAGATCAGACATTTGCATATTTGCATGTTGAACTGTGTGTTTGTGGCAGAGGACTTGGCGCGCTCAGTGAACTCCTATTTGCAAAACCTGGAATAGCGTGCTAGAGGGCTCAGAGCTGGTGTAAGTTAAAGGTTGGCATGTTTGGGTCTCTCAAAGTTGTAATGTTTGCATCTAGCCCCCTGTCTTTTTTCCTTTTTCTTGGCTGAAACAGAAATTCAGTTTGTGATGAGACACGCAGATTTTGAGTCATTTACTTGTCCATTTGTGTTTGAAAAGTTTCCTAGCAAGATAGCCAGGAGGGGTCCATGAGAAATGAAGCAAGATGTATTGAGGACAGAACAGCAGCTCTGACTGCCAGCTTCTTTTGCAAGGTGGTTGATCTCCTGCATATTTTATATAAATCAGAAACATGCCAAGGTAAAAAATCATCCACACAGTTAAGCTCCCAGTGTAATGGAACTATAACTCTGACCCCCTCCTTCGCCCCAGCAATAAGCTCTAGTGTAGCATGTGCACCCCAAGCTGGGTGACATGAACAACGTTTCATCCCGCTTTATTCGCAGGATGACAGGGTCTAGTCCTAAAGGAAAATGCTTTTTTTTCTAATACATTTGTAAAGAACTCCTTTCTTACCAAGCTCAAATAGCTAACAGTGGAAACTTTTCTAAAATGCTTGCTCAACGTCTAAAGTGATAATGCAAGTCTGAAAGTGTCAGGAAGCACATGAAATCTTCCATCTGTATCACCAGGTCTCATTGGACTGGGAGCAAACAAGACTTGTCCATGTCTAGTGGGCTGAGTTGGTAGTGTCAAACCAGTATCTAGTGGGGGGCACCTGAGCACTGGAGATCACTGTCTCTTGTTTGTGAAGCTGTGCTCTTTGCTGATTGTCCTGCATAGCATTTCAGAGGTAGCTTCAATTGTGAGCTCCCACCAAACAGAAGGAGAGTTCAGTACAGGGACGTCGCTGCAGCCTGGCTGGTGCTGAAAACTTTAATTCCCATAGATCTCCATCTGCATTAAATTTCCTTAAAAAAAAATCAGAATAATACTTGGCTCTTTTACAAAGGTTTCTGACAGACAGCCTCTAGCAGATTTAGACACTGATATACGGTATTGCAATCTGCAGGGTTTGCTCAGACATTTACCAAATGTTTCTACCACTGTTGCAGGGATTTAAGCAGAGGCTGTGTCTGTGCCTATGCTCTCACTGTGCATAGTCTTGTGGTTTTATGCAGACTCATCCTGAGCAAAACTTCAAGAATTTGGCTGTGAACTGAAGGAAAAGATGAACGTCCGTTTTGCTGCCTTTGCTGCTTTCATGGCAGCCTCGTCCAACAGGCCAGATGGACGGGGTGACGTCTTAAGCTGCTGTAGAGCAATCTACCAGCACTCATCTTCCTGAAATCTGACTTTATCAGCAGTGGTAAGTCACCCTTGCAGCTCCGCTGTCTTGTTGGTAACTGGTCACTGGAGATAAGGAAATGAGAGCAGAGATGAGTTGATATGTCCATGACCAACACAAGGGAGCTGATGTGAGAGTTACAGGCAGGACTGGCTTTTTCCCTGGGACAGCTTGTACTTCTGAAATGCATACAACCCTCTCCATTTCTTGTTCAGAAGTTTTTTTTGTATGTGTTGTCAGTCAAATAGTATTAGCACCAGTCAGAAGCCTACCTCCTTCTGGAGGTACCTCCTCCTAGCTGATGTGCTCCAAGTTACTGAACTTCAGTTAGCTCTTAAGTTTTCCAGACTGACACAGTATGAACAGTCCAGAAACCTCCCCCATGGCTCGGTTTTGTTTTTAACAACGGAAACTGTAGGAGTAGATGCCAGTGGAAATTTGTGAAGTTCCGTCTTTGCCCATTGAGAAACATGCGATTCCGCCCCTCTCCTGGCCCTTCCAGTGCTGCAGCAGACACTGTGTCAGGTCCCTTCTGGATATTGTGGTGAGGGAACAAGTATGTTTGACACATCGCTGGAGCTACATCTGCTGTGGTTTGCTTGGGCTGTGGGGGGTAGGTGCATCCTTCTGAGCTCCCCCAGGTTACTGCTGATGTTTGGCTCCAGGGAAAGGTCCTGCTGGGAGAAGCAGTTGCTTTGCAGCAAGGAATTTGCATCTTGAGGGGGAGCTGGAGGACAGTTGTGCTGTTTCTTCCAGTTTAGCTTTGTCAGAGCGCTGCGCAAGGTGAGAAACCCAGCGTTGCTTCGGCCCACAGCCAGTTTGCACTGAGTGAGCCACGGCCTCTTCAGATGCTGTTTGCGATCGCCTTGCCTGCCGCCTGCCTGGAAGAGGCAGTGCTGCAACACCTCCTGCAAACCAAGGCCAGCTTTTGTGTTGGCCTCCGGCCCCCCCCCACTCTCCCCCACCACCCCCCCCCTTGTGTGACAGCCTCACCTTGTCCCCTGCTCCTGGGCCTCTCTTTCCCTTCCCTGTTTTGAGTCAGCCCCTGCCTCCTCCCACCATGCTGAGCCCTCTCCACCCGCATTTGAAGAGGTGGGACGCGCATCCAGCTGCATCTCTAGCAAGCTGGGAGGGTGGCTTGTGTTCCCTCACTGCTACCTCCTGGCTGCTGGTGCTTGGAGAGCCTCGGAGGGCTGCCTGCCTGAGGCTGCCTGCCCTGCCCGCATCCCCTGCTGCCTGCAGGAGAGGCGGGCAGCCAGCGAGCAGAGCCCTTGGCAAGCGGGGCTGGGCTGCACACACGTCATGGGGGGACGGGGACGAGCAGCACTTGTCTGAGGCAAGAACCCGAGCTTGGCTCTGGCTCCCAGCAGCACGAAATGCTGTCCACACTATGCTGCTTTATGTCCCTGAAACCAGACAGTCTGCAGAGGTGAGGTCGGCTCCCCAAGCTGGGGTAGGACATGCTTGGTGGGCTCTGCAGCGTATTTGGGCATCTGCTAGCAGGTTCTCCCCTCCCTGCTGTCGCTGCTGCAAATTGGGCCTCGCCTCCCTGCTCCCCTTTCTCGCCGGAGCATGGCCTTTCCTGCCCAAGTGGCACACATGAGGTAAGAGAAATTTTTGCTCTGTGCACGTGGAGCGTTATTTAATTGAAGGTGCAGTGAACGGGCAGGAGAGCTGATGAAGTCTGATGTGGACCGAGAAGGAAGTTGCACCAATTCCACTTTCTAAAAATAAATCAAGCAAATGTTCCCGCAGCCAGGAGGCTGCTGCTCTCTGTACACTGAGTATGGTTGCTATTTTTTTTGGTCTTGTTCTGGCAAGTTTAAAAAAAAAAAAGATGCTACTGTCTATCAAAACACTGCAGTGGCTGTGTGATCAGATATATGCTTATGAAGAAAGTCTGGGTTGTTCCAGTGTTTCATGAAGTGACCTTGAAGGATTACCTACACGTAGTGTTTCCTAGAGATTTGTCTAAAGATTTCCAATGATGGCGATTCAGGCTTTCCTCAGCAATCTACTCCAGTACCTGACTATTTGGATGATTAAGGAGCTTTGCTTGATTTCAGGCCGATATTGCTGTACTTTAACCCCATCATTCTGACATTTCACCTTCTCTCTGGCAAGCTACCAAAGAGAAGAAAAATTCTGTAAATGTAAAAACAATAATTCGTGTAGAGTTTGATCTTCCTTTCTACCTTTCCTTTCTGTGTTCAGAGAGCATCTGCTGGCTCGTGTGCATGGCCATGTATTTAATTACATGTGTGTGGCAGCCAGGAAGCTCTAGTCCTGACTCCTCATGTTGTATTGGCCATAACTAACAGTCCTTGATCTGTGCTGATGCCAGTGAAAATGTGGTGCTTGGGGTAATGTGTGTCTTATTAAAATTGTGTATCACAAATTCCCCAGTTGTCTCATACTTTTAGCAAAATGCACTTCTCTAACATCTTACAGAGTTTTTGGTTAGTAATATATTTTACAAAAATCAACAAGATTCCATTAAAAGTTCTGTTACTTCAAAACTTCACATAGAGACGCTGCTGATAAAACTATTGCTGAATAGGAAAGAACAGAATATTGTTCTCTGTCACGGGGTGGGTTTTTGTCTCTTTTGCCTGTCATTGAACATTTTATAAAATGTGTATTTGCTGTGGAACTTCATCATCTGCAGCTGATTTCCCATCCCTTTCCAAGCTGTGACAAGTCTTCCTGATAAATTCAAGGTGTCATCATAACATTTCTTCATTTCAATCATTGATAAAATAGTTACGATGCATTTTTAGGAGGAGATCTACAGTTGAAATAGGCTGTGCACTCAAATTCTTTCCTGGGATGAGAGTTACTGCCTTGCAAAGCCCTGATGGGCTGGGGTGGACTCCTAGTCATAAAGCAGTAATGATACTGAAGCTCTCTACATTGCATGAAGATTTCTGTAACACAGTTATCTTGATTCCTTACTGTATTTTCTAGCCACTAGTATCTGCTAATTGTTATCTCTGGGGCTCATAAATTTTTCCGGATTGTGTTTTTGTACTGGCAGTGTCTGACTGGCTCTGCAGCCTTGCAAGGAGAGACTGCATCAACAAATGTGCACGATGCCCTTAAGGTGCCTCTGCCCTCCTGCCTGCTCAGCTCCTGGAAATCATTGCCACTGTAGTTTTTAGTCTCATTGTGTATTTCCATTTTTCTTCTACCTAAGTCTTTGGTGAAACTTTCCGCTCTTTCATGTACCTAGAGCGTGTTTGTGTTGTTTTGAATGCTTCTGACGGCTGGATGTCTCTACACTCTGATAAGAAATGCCCTTCTGTGTGTGCATATGCTCTTTCTCCAGGCCTGCAAGGCTGGTGAAAGATACCTGTCAGGTGGAAAGCGATACTCCCAGATTTTTGCTGATAGCAAGCCCAGTGTGAGGCAGCCCTGTGCTGGGAGTCTTGTAGCTGCACGATGCTGTGTTTGGGCTGGGCAGCCGTGGACTGACTGCAATTGCACAGTTCCAGCTCGGAGTTTCTGGTGTTTGGTGAGTTTATGCCTGCCTGCAAAAAGACTGTGGAGACATCCTTGTCATCAGCTTGTGACCTGAGTTGTTAGTCAGACTCTTAAAGAAAATAACTCTTGAGGTAGTGCAGCATCATTAAAAAAATGTTTTCAGGTGGGGGTCTCCATTAGAGTATCAGCTGTGGATGGAAGATTGGAGACTGCTAATGTAGCGATGTGCTGTCAGCCACTAAATGTTAGTGTCATTAATTTACATCTGTGTTAGTAGTTGTTACAAGTTCAGTAACAGTATAATGTGTGGTTCCAGTGTTGTTCCCAAGGTGGTGGAAGTTTACATCTTTCAGGTTTTGGTGCTATTAGTATTTCTTGTGTGCAGATCACTGAGTAAAATGCTCTTTTTATTTTTTTTTTTCCTTCTCATCTGTAGCAGAATATCTGATATACCTCATGTTATGTACAGTTGACATGACTTCATCTAGAAAATATTGGTGACTGATTGGCAACAGGTATCAGCTCTAACCAGTGAGGCCACCACCTCGCTGCTCACCTGGAGCCCTTGACTCTTACCATAAGGGAAATAAACCGTGGCAGATGGCCAATCCTCCTGGCTTATCGCATCTCCAGAAGTGAAGTCCATGTTGTCATTTCCACAGTCCCCAAATGGAGGTTTTTGGGTGGCTGTACAATGCCACACGTCCCCCAGCATGGGAGGAGGTACTGACTCGCTTGACAGTGAATTGCCTGTGCCCCACACAGGGCAGCAGGAACTGATTCCACTTGGGCATTATCCAAGCACCTGCACTGTAAATCTGGGCAGTCCCACTCTTGTTCCAGCATTACAGTAAGGCTGAGGGATGGCTTTGTTATCTTGACTCGTTTTCTTTCACCATGAGGTTTACTCTTGTCTTGTGCATAGCTGGCACAATTTCTAGTAGTGTATGTGGCAGTATATATTCAGCATTATCCACTGTGCCTGACCAGAGGACTCGGTCTGTTCTGGATCTTTTCAGTTATTTCATATTGTTGTCAGCTGGGAAATCTGTAAATGCCTTGTGATATTTTATGGCTTTATAAGCTGTACAAAATGTCCAGCAGGTAGTTAAATGTCTAGCAGATACAGACTGTAAGTGCGTTTTTTTCATTAGCTCTTTGGCAGACACTGAACATACTTTCATAGCTGCAGGATGGACTTTTGGTTGCTTGTGGTCATGGTTTATGTTTGGGTTTTTTTTATATTGGTGTCTACTGTTTGTACATGTTGTTGCCAAAATAAGAAATTTCATAGTGTCTTGTACAGAAAACAGTGGAGGGCCTCACAATGTATCTTTTAGTTTTCCAAACTCTTGGCCCTTCAGGAATTTAAAGCAGACTAACAACTTTACATAATTAAAAGCAATCTGTTCAGGGTTTCTTGTAGGAACTGGCTAGTAATTTCTCTTCTCTGGGACTAATTCTCTTGAGATACTATTTCTGTGTATTATATACTACATTGCTCTTTCTTTTCATATTAAAATTTACAGAAGTTTTGA